AATATTGACAGTTGTCTTGAGGACCAGCGGTGCCCCACCACGACCCTGGGGATCGGGAAAGATCAGGACTCAGTGGAATGTTGGAGTGTTTCCATGTTGGGGGGGGGGGTGGCGTACCAGATTCAGCAGTTTACAGTGGCCTCTAACTGTCCAGCCTTGACTGCCTTTCCACAGTTAGGTAAATTACGTATGCATTGGTTCCTTCCATCAGTCAACCAGGGTTTATTGATCTTCTTCCTGATATGCCTTGGGCTGGGCCCTGAGCTGAAGGCCAGGGGCAAGCTATTCTCAGTGTTCAGTAGTTTGTTTACTTGTTTTTAATTGTGCTGAGTGTTTTCCCACCTCGGTGGGAGGGGCAGGCAAGTTACTGTGTAGGTTCCTTAGAAGGTCCCAGCTCCCCACTTGCCTTAAGCCCAGGATCGTGGCCAACCCTGCACTGGCTACTGGCTTCTTCAGTGGGTTCCTCAGCTGCTGGACTGTGGGGTAATGAGTCCAGAGCTGGGGCCAGGGTGAGAAGGATGGGTTGGGCACATGGGATAAAACACTCCCTGGAATTCGTGACCATGCAGGGGCAGTGCTGCGTGTGGATGTTCATGTGCCCGAGTTATCAGGACAGAGGGAGTATCCTGTGGCCGGAGGCCCTGCCAGGGACACTGACAGCCATTCACTGCAGGGCCTGTGAGGGAGCAGTGCGGTTCCAAAGGGAAGGCACTCTGCCTATGCTTGCTCCCTGAGGGCTGGGGAAAAGGAGTAATGACTGCCTCCTTCCACCTGAATGGTGAGACCCTGCAGGCAACCTCCCCTCCCTGGGCCCTGTGAGCTCTTAGGGCTGCAGTAGGATCCAATCCCTTAACAGTAGGATAAATGACCCCTGAGTTTCCCAAGATATGCATCTGTATAAGTTTCCAGAGTGATACTACTAGGGAATCCCTGCCTCTCCCCCAACGTAGACTTACTCGTGCACACGCATGTATCCACGCATGCACGCGCACACACACCCCTATATGCCAAAGCGGCAGTGGTTACTCCTTTCCTTAAACCTTCAGTACAGTCTCTCTGGGGCATTTTCATTGCTTCCCATCAATTGGTAACCTTGCCGATGCTGACCCCCTGGGTCCCAGAGATCCTTGAGGGCAGGTACTAGAAGGCCCCTGGCAAGTATTGACTGAATGACTGACATAAGGGGCAAATGAATTCTGGAAGGGTGAAGTGTCAAGGCTGGAGAAATTGGGGCCGACCCAGGTTTTGTGTGTCCCAGGCCGGGCCTGAGGCCAGCTCATCCTGCCTCGGCTGCTTTGGCCCAGGGACAGCACACCAATTACCCCGTGCTCTTTCCAAGAACTCACGCTCCCCTTTCTTGCTCTGAGTCTGGCGGCTGGCATGGGTTTACGACTGACCCATCGAGTGCCTACACCTGCTCACAGAATCATGGGGTGCTGGGTCTCACCGAACATTCTGGGATAATTGTCTGGCGAGGTCCTTCCTCACAGTGGGGCTCTGCGCATGCTTTGCCTGGGCTCATTCGAGGGCTTGTGCGTGAGCTGTAAACCTCAGAGTGTCTCCTTGGGTTCTGGCCAGCTCTCCTCAAATTCTGAGTTCTCCCATGGGTCCCATGATGGGTAGTCCAGTTCTGAAGGGGGCTAGCCGCTCAGTGGTGGCCCAGGCCTGGGATCGTCACCATGGGCATATATAATGAAAGATCTAGTGGTGGGGGTGGCTCTCCCTTGGTGGCTTCTGGACCCCCAGGTTCTGGGTTAGCCAGAGACCCTTCCAATTCTGACAAAGTCTGATAGTAGATAGATGTTGGTGGACTTGTGTAAGCTGAGTAGGGGTCACACAAGGCTGGGAGGAGAGTGGTTCTACAGGGCTAGCCTTCTTTTATGGGCTATGTTCATAGGGTCTCGTCATTCATTCATCCATTTGAGTCAGAAAATGTTGAACATACAATGGGCTAGCTGTGACCTGGGCCTTGAGGCTTCATGTGAGCAAGGCAGACATGATCGTGCCCTCATGGAAAAGAAGCACACTTATGAAAGGGTCAACAACAAAATGTCGCCCTAGTGGTAAGTGCTGTAAAGAAGGAAATAAGGTGATGGGTAGAGAGAGGCTGAAGATGAGCGCCTATGACAAGAGGGGCCTGGGAGTCTTTGTGAGAAGGGGCTATGTGAGTTGAGACCTGCCAACTGTACCTTTGCACATTCTAGACCATTGTTCCCCCCCCCCCCCCCGGCCCCCCACCAGCTGAGGCTTCAGCAAAGGCACCTGAAGTCCAATTCCTTAAAAAAGATTTGTTGACTGAAAAAAAAACTTCTTTAACATAATTAAAGCATTCCATATCCAAACCTAAGTTGAAAACTCCCTATATTCATTATTTGACAAATTGAGCTCTTACTTACCCAGCGTGAATGAGGGTGGGGGATGGTCTTCAACCTGCTGCCCCTCACCCCACCTGATTTGCAGTCTCGCTGTATTGCACATTCAGCCTGCCCTCCCTCCTGCTGAATTGGCGTCAGCTCATCAGCAGCAACCTGAAAATAGCCTGTCTTTCTGGATTCATGTCTTCTGAGAAGGCCAACTGGGCAGCTTTGGAAGTGGGCCAGCCATGTTGCCTTTGGACTTTCCAAACTTCCCCAGAGCTGTTGGGTGGAATTCTGAGCACTCCCAAGTGGCCTCAGGGTCATGATCTGTGTTTGCTTAGGAGAGGAGCCAGCACAGCTGGATGGAGCTTGAAGGTAGAGAAGGGGCTTCAAACAGGGCCCTGGGGGCTGTTAGAGTCCCTGCCTGGGATCTTCCAGGCACCAGTCCTGCTCTAGCAACTTCTGCACACTAGACCTACTCCTCCCCGCTGGTCAGTGGTTGCCATGAGCACTGGGGTTGGCCATTCTTGTCTACTAGGGCGTCTTACGTGCCAAGGACAGGGACTGGGGTACAGTGGGAACTCGGCAGGGTTGGTGAATGAAAGCAAAGCTCTCCAGGAGATATTAGTCCTTTCTGACCCATCTCCAAAATGGACTTTTTTATTTGTTGGTTGGTTTTTTAATTTGAGTGTAGACAGCCCACCAGAGGCAAAAAGGAAAGATGGCGAGTTGGTAGCCTTCTTTTCCTACAAGTGATCAGGTTCCTGTATGTGTGTGTAAATGTGTGCAGGTGTTCATGTCATGGACACAGTCAGCCCTGTACCATGGCTGCTGTGTTTCTCCCTCCTGCAAATAAACATTCATGTCTTTTCTTCCCTTCCCTTGCAAGATGGACTCACAGCCCCTGTCCTCTTGCCAAGGAAGCCAGGTCTCCCGTTGGAGACCCTCCACGCCACGCATAGTCTGCCTGGCGGGAGGCCCAGGAGGCAGCAGACCCCTCCCCTCCCCGCCCCAGGGCTGAATGCGCTTCCTCCACAGTTGAACTCTGTCCCCACCAGTCCCCCTAGGGAATTGCCTGGCCCAGGAATCCATCCTGGCTGGGGTTAAGCGCTGCCCCTGGACCACCTGGCTGGCCAACACATGTAAACATTGGGATACAAAGAGGAGAGATGTGCAAAAACTGTTCCAATGGCAGGAAGCGAATTTGGACTCCTTCAGGTGGAAGGCAGATCTGGAAATAGAAGGACCCAGGCGTAGGTTCACTGCCTTTCAAAGCTGAGCTCCTCACCTGCTGTGAGGTGGAGGCAGCCGTTCCTTCTACCCCAGCCCCAAGCAGAGTGGCCTTAGCGGTTCTGCACAGTCTGGGAAGGGGGCAGAGAGGAGCCTTAAAGGCAATTATGGAGACCAGCTTTGAGTGTTAGTGTTTAACAAACAGCTTTGAGTTCTAATTTTCTGCAGAACACATACTGCAGGTACAATTTGTACTCATTACTGTATACTGGGAAAGTTATTAAAAACACTCAAACTTGGTTGAGACTTCCTATGGTATCATCCCTGGATTTTAATTGGTTTTTATCTAGTTCTATAAAGGATCTCTTTAAACCCAATCACAGTCCCTGCCTGGGATATCATGCCAGTGGAAGGACAGAGAGAGCCCAGTAAATGGTGTACGTCTTCACCCCTATCCAAAAATGAACAGTCTGGACGATCCACTACGATTCCGTCACCAGATAATTTATACTTCTTCTGATGGGCACAGTTACCAAATGACAAAATAACAGTGTTTCGTAACATAAGGGTTAAATCTTAATCTCTGAGGTTTGCAAAGCCGCTACTCGCAGTCTCCTTAAAATTTAATATACCTCGTTAATGCTTCCTTGCAAACACTGAAGGATTTTTATGATTATAATCATGTGTTACAGCACCTAGTACTGTTTCTAAGCAGCATACTAATCAGCTTAATGAGATATTACTGCACTTTTTGTTGACTAAAGCAAAATCCCTTTTATTGTTCTAAAGCCTGTCCTTTACTTTATTTTTTCCCAAAACATTATCTTGTTTTATTATGTACCAGTAAATATCATGCCATTGGGTTTTTCTGTTGGGTTTTTTTTTTTTTTTTTTTTTTTTTTTTGGGGGGGGGGGGTGGCAAATCATAAAATAATCTCTTTCATCACAGACTGGCGAATGTATTGAATATAGTAACCGGAAACAAAAGTTCCAAGGGAGTCTATGTGGTCTTGCGGTGAAAGCCATCCTGCTCCAAGGCAAACTTTGAACAGAACCAACAGGTGCAGGTGCCACAAGGGGCACAGGAGGGAAAGTTTAACACGTAGACCCGTGATTTGTTATTAGGTGTTGGAAGTGGTAAAACATTAATAATTTAAATGCGAATGAATAATTGCGGTCGGTAAATAGAAAATACAAGGAAGACGATCTATCGCCAAAACAAATTGGAGGAGCAATGCCATGTTGCGTAATTGGCATTTAATAATTCATCTTTTTATTATTGTTTTTGACTCTAATTCCTTAGCATTATTATGTGTAGGTAAGGCATGAATTGCAAATTCCTCGCCAGCTGATGCTGTTGATTCGCTGCGCCACGGTGCCTGGCACAGACCTCAACTCTCTCTTTATTTTCAGGGATGGAAGAAGCCAGTCTGTGCCTTGGAGTGTCCTCGGCGGCACCGGAAGCTGAGCCCCACCTGAGCGGCCCTGTCCTCAACGGCCAGTATGCCATGAGTCAGAAGTTGCACCAGATCACCTCCCAGCTCAGCCATGCCTTCCCCGAGCTGCATCCGCGGCCCAACCCGGAGGAGAAGGCCCCCGCGCCCCTCGACGAGAAGGCCCACGTGCCCATGACCGGCCAGCCCATGGGCAGCCAGATGGCGCTCCTGGCCAGCCAGCTGGGCCGGGACGTCGACACCAGCCTCAACGGGCGGGTGGACCTGCAGCAGTTCCTCAACGGGCAGAACCTGGGCATCATGTCCCAGATGAGCGACATCGAGGACGACGCCCGCAAAAACCGCAAGTACCCGTGCCCCCTGTGCGGCAAGCGTTTCCGCTTCAACAGCATCCTCTCCCTGCACATGCGCACTCACACCGGCGAGAAGCCCTTCAAGTGCCCCTACTGCGACCACCGGGCGGCGCAGAAGGGCAACCTCAAGATTCACCTGCGGACCCACAAGCTGGGCAACCTGGGTAAGGGGCGCGGGCGGGTGCGCGAGGAGAACCGCCTGCTGCACGAGCTGGAGGAGAGGGCCATCCTGCGGGACAAGCAGATGAAGAGCAGCCTGCTGCAGCCGCGGCCCGACCTGAAGCCCCTGCCGCACGCCCAGCAGGCCCCGCCGGCCCCCTGCAACCTGGCCCTGCCCGCCAACCACAGCGTGCCCGACGTGGCCCACCCGGTGCCCTCGCCCAAGCCCGCCAGCGTGCAGGAGGACGCGGTGGTCCCGGCCGCCGGCTTCCGCTGCACCTTCTGCAAGGGCAAGTTCAAGAAGCGCGAGGAGCTGGACCGCCACATCCGCATCCTGCACAAGCCCTACAAGTGCACGCTGTGCGACTTCGCGGCCTCGCAGGAGGAGGAGCTCATCAGCCACGTGGAGAAGGCCCACATCACCGCCGAGTCGGCCCAGGGCCAGGGCCCCAACGGCGGCGGCGAGCAGTCGGCCAACGAGTTCCGCTGCGAGGTGTGCGGGCAGGTGTTCAGCCAGGCGTGGTTCCTGAAGGGCCACATGCGGAAACACAAGGACTCCTTCGAGCACTGCTGCCAGATCTGCGGCCGGCGCTTCAAGGAGCCCTGGTTCCTTAAGAACCACATGAAGGTCCACCTCAACAAGCTGTCGGTGAAGAACAAGTCCCCCAGTGACCCCGAGGTGCCCGTGCCCATGGGCGGCATGTCCCAGGAGGCCCACGCCAACCTGTATTCCCGGTACCTCTCCTGTCTGCAGGGGGGCTTCGTGGCCCCGGACAAAGCCAGCCTGAGCGAGCCCAGCCAGCTCTACGGCAAAGGGGAGCTGCCCGTGAAGGAGAGGGAGGTCCTGGGGAAGCTGCTGTCCCCCATCTCCAGCGTGGCCCACGGGGTCCCCGAGGGCGACAAGCACTCCCTCCTGGGGTGCCTCAACCTCGTGCCGCCGCTGAAATCCAGCTGCATTGAGCGGCTGCAGGCGGCTGCCAAGGCTGCCGAGATGGACCCCGTGAACAGCTACCAGGCTTGGCAGCTCATGGCCAGGGGCATGGCCATGGAACACGGCTTCTTGTCTAAAGAGCATCAGCTACAGCGCAACCACGAAGACACTTTGGCAAGCGCCGGAGTTATGTTTGATAAGGAGAAGCGGGAGTACGTGTTAGTGGGAGCAGATGGCTCCAAGCAGAAAATGCCTGCTGATTTGGTTCACAGCACTAAAGTGGGCAATCAGAGGGACCTGCCAAATAAGCTCGACCCTTTAGAAGGCAGTCGGGATTTTTTGTCACACGGGCTGAACCCGGCGCTCGACTATAACCTGCAGGGTCCCGGGAGCATGAAGGAGAAGCCCACCGAGTGCCCCGACTGCGGCCGGGTGTTCCGCACCTACCACCAGGTGGTCGTGCACTCCCGCGTCCACAAGCGGGACCGCAAGGGCGACGAGGACGGGCTGCACGTGGGCCTGGACGAGCGGCGCGGCTCGGGCAGTGACCAGGAGTCCCAGTCGGTGAGCCGCTCTACCACGCCGGGCTCCTCCAACGTCACCGAGGAGAGTGGGGCCGGCGGGGGGCTCTCCCAGACCGGGAGTGCCCAGGAGGACAGCCCGCACCCCTCCTCGCCGTCCTCCTCAGGTAGGCCGCCAGGGAACACGGGGGACCAGCAGCTGGGACGAGGGCCCTCCCCGTCCAGGGGGCCTGGCTCCGCGCCTGCCTCTGGGGGACGGGCCCTGGCTTCTCTTCCAGGTCAGTCCTGAGCTCATCACTCTGACCTGATGGCGTTAGGTGGACCGTGCCTTTCTGCCCCGCCTCCAGGGAAGGCTAGCTCTTCGAGTCTTTGGCCTTCCCTTGAACACTGGCTGCCGGGAAAGAAAGTTGATCCCACTGGGTGGTAGAGATGGTCAGTTGGCATGTTTGCCGACAGGCATAGCCTGTCCTCCCCTCCCCCGGCAGTTCCCTGCCCGGCCCCGTTTTACGCCCCGGCCCCCATCCGCCATCACCTCGTCTCTGGAACCCGGGAGCTGGCGTTTTGGCTTCATCCACGCGTGTGAAGGTGTGAGCTCAGACGCTCACCATCTTTCCCCCCCCCCCCCCGAGGATATTCCCACAGTTGTCTCATTTGGGCACCCCTCCCTCCCTGCCCAGGCCAAACCTGCCTCCTGTCCCCTTCCGAAATTACAGCGTGGCTCACCTGTCGGGCCCCTGTAACCTGACGAAACACATCACTCTCGTCTGATGGTTTAGAAAAGCACAGAGGTTTGAAACACAGATGCATGACTGCGTGTCTTAAATTGTACTGTTACACGGGCGATACAGCTTTGGGGTCTAAAATAGCAAAGCAGAAAATCTGTCATCAAAATGTCTGTGAAACGCTGAAGCTTCCTGGCCCGCGTTGGGGGGGAAAAAAAAAACCAACCAAAAACAACAACAACAAAAAAAAACCCGCACTAGCCTAAGATAGCTAAATTAAAATCGCTACCTAACAGCAGGTAAGCTTGTTGCCTCCATCCGTATTTCCAAAGTCCCTTTCTAATGGATGGTAAATTGAAAGTTATATCTCTAGCCCTTTATAAAGAAAGCATCTCGCTAATACTGTAATCATTCTGCAGCCTAACAACAGAGGAAATCATGCCATAACAAATACCCTGTTACTAATGGCAACATTGATTTCTGCAATCAGCCATTAAGTCTAGAAAATGAAAGACAGTTTGAGGCACCTCAAGGCACTGCATTGCTCACTGTTCAAGGCGTGGCGGCACACTGTTGAGGGTCATTTTGGTAAAGTTTTTTTCCCCTCCCTTTCGCTTTTTTCCCTTCTGGGTTTTGGTAAATAGTTCCGTTTCGGAAGCCGTGCCCTGCTATAGTTATTAAGTAGATGCCGGTTTAGTTTTTGTCTGTTACTGTCATGCGTTGGTATACCCTTCTTCGAGGACAAAATTAGTATTAAAATAAAGTGCGAGTCTGCTGGCTTATTACAAACCGGTAAAGAATTGTTAACACACATAAATCTGAACTGCACATTCCAGAGATTCCGATAGCACTTAATGCTGTTGCTTAAATACCCATGAAACACACTGTCTACTCCTGGAGTCCTGGACTCGTTTGCGATTTATTTCTGGTGAGGCACTCTGGAAGAGTCCGACCAGGAACGTGAGCCACCACGGAGGGGTGAGGCCACGCCGCAAGGAGTGACCGCTGCGAGGAACGTTCGAGATGCAAGGGAGGGGTGTTCAGGTTTCGCTGCCTGACAGCGGGGACTCCATAAAAACGGATCTCCCGTGCAGAGGCAGCAAAGTGCCAGGCGGCCCAGTGTCAGGAGGGACGATTTCCGCCCTCCTGCGAAGAGGTCCCCTGCTCTGGGGAGTGTCATCTCACTGTCTTTGGATCGGGGGCCTTGAAGGGGGCAGAAGGCAGAGGGCAGACTGGCTCCCCTAAGTTTTTGGAGTGACGTGGAGTTAACATTGACAGATTTCCATCCCTCTCCCAGACCTGCTGAAATGAAGAGGTCTCAGCAGAATATTCCGGCACCAAATGTTCGGCTTTATTAATGACGTGTTTACCATGTTTTTCCCACCTTCTGGCCAAGTGATAGCCTCATGCTATTCTATCTCTGTAGTTTCCATATCTGCAAATACTCTGTTGAAAAAACCCATTTTGCTTAAAAGAACCAACCGGGCTTACGACTCAAAGGAGAATTATTCTTGAGTTGTGGTTATCTTCTAGCTTTTATTTCCTTCATTGAAGTATTTTACAATTGTGAATACCGATTCTTTCATTTCTGGTTGACTTCTTTGTTTTCTTCATATTCAAATTAGACCCTTTCATAATTTTCTGACTAAGTGGGAAAATTGATGGCATACCAACACGCAGCCCAAATCAGCCGCACGCCTTAGGGCATTCAGGTTTTGCTGGGATTAGGACCCTTAACCCGATCTGGTTAGTCTTGCCTCTGATTTCTAACAAGTAGGACTTGTGTAAAGTGCGATTAAAATAAGCATTTAAATAAAAATCTTTACACAACAGGCATTTTATTATTACCTGTTAGAGAGAAACCTGCAAGGTGAAGGGGAAAGAAAATCTTTAAGCTCTTAAGTAAAGAAAGAAGTACTTATTAAGGCTTCTATTAAGCAATAACCACAAAACACGGTTTTACAAATTTCTCAGACTGCATAACAATGTCGCAAAACTCAATTTGCATCACTTGATTCTTGTTTTGTTGAAAACTGGGTCAGTAGGGCCTGAGAAACTATTTTTTCAGATCTTAACCAGTGAATTCTTCTTTATAAATCGCTGCTCTTAACATGATAGTAGTTCTGAATTCATCATAAAAAACCTTTTTACAGAGAGCCTCTTAGAACAGATCTCCAGAAGAAGGCTTACAATGAGTGGCAGGGACGTCCTTTGTTATCTGATGTAATTCTTTGCAAAGGAGGATTGGGAACGGAGTGGCTGTTTAAAAATGTCTTGCCCAGACCGAGACGAAGAAGGGGTCAAGTTTGCAATCAAACAGTTATTGCCGAGATGGGCGACTGTCACTGGCTAGGCTAATGTGGGATGCAGCTGTTTGTTATGTGAGCAAAAGAATGTTTGATTCAGTGAACATGTGAAAATGATCCCAGTGAACCAGAAAATGTGTTTGTTCTTGGGCTCTCCAAACTGCTGAGAACCAAGCCGAGGATCAACCGCGAAAACTAGGACCTTTGACAAATTGAGAGGTCATATTTTCTAACAGAAAATGGACAAAGCTCGTCATATGGATCACTTCCCCATCTTTCCCCTTTGTTTTATTTTTGTTGTTGTTGTCCTTGTTGATTTGACTTACCAATAATTTCACACCATCGTAGATGTCACTTCTGCCTCCGTGAACCACGCGAAAGGAAACTATTTGGAAAGCAGCAGCTTATAAATTTTACTCTTTTATGACATTTAGAAAGCGGGGCGGCTGTTTTGACGCTCCCTCATTTTTTTGGCTCGCGTGCCAACCCTCCGATGGCATTAATCTCTGCATCTCTCCCCCAAACCTCGTCTAAGACTGGGCTCAGACTGGAGCTCTGCTCTGAGCCGGAAGACGACCAAAGTTCTGTTTCTTTGGATTTTGCCTTGGAAATCACGCTCAGAATAATTAAAACTTAATGTACTAAGAAACGATACTGTTCATTATATCCAACAGGGCAGTTACCTTCTGCATTCCCCGTAATTTTGGAGAGGGGCTAATTGCAGTGTTGATGGTGGGAAAGGGGTAATTGAATGCGTTGACCCTCTGTTCATTAAATAAAGTCGGCTAACTTACGTGATCAATGGAAAGCCAGGGAGAGACTCAAGGATGAAAATATCGTTAACCCCTACTACTTCTGGTATAATATTTTGAGATGGTCAGGGATTATTTGATCAGCTGGGCTGGAAGCCTTGTGGGGTCCTCTTTTGTTGCCTGAGCCGCATTCCTGAAATGCTGGGTCTCCATCCTGTGTAGGCCCATTGACCACAGCCTCAAAGGCCTTTATCCGGGGCTCCCTTGCATTTAGTGATATGATAGATTTTCTTTCTTTTCCTCCTCTTTTTCTGATGTGGCCCCTCCTTCCTGCCCCCATCCGTGATAACCACTGCCTGCCGCACACAAACAAATCGAGGCACCCCAAAGAAGGGGCAGGCGGGGGGGGGGGGAGGGGAATAAAAAAAAAAAAGAGAAAAAAAAATTTAAGTCTGAGGATTAAGATCTTCATTTTTTTTTTTTTTTTTGCTTGTGCATTCCAATTGTTCTTAAAATATTTGGCAATGTCAATTAGTAACTGAGCAGAGTTAGCTGATGAACACAATTTTCCAGTAGACTGAGCACCCTATTGTTGCCGAGCGAACAGCAGATTTCTGAGGTCATTATCATTCGCTGGTTGCTTGGCCCAGCTGCTTCCTGCTGCAAAAGCCAAACTTTATACTGGAGCTTGGGGATGGCGTACAGCAACAGGGGGCTGGGAGGGGGAAGAGGGAAGCTGGCTGCAGAGCCGAAGACACTCATTATCAGCAGAGGAAACAGAAAGTAAAAGTTTCCAGGCAGTTCCAGGAAAACTGCCCTATCAGCCTTCTTCCTCCAGTTCCTCTCCCAACACCTTCAGCCTCCAGGCAGGGAATTCAAAGGACCCGGGACGCCCCGTGGGGCATCGTGGCAACTAATCTCTGTGCTGAGCCGAACTTTGGAAAACAATAATCCCATTTACAAATTTACTTAAAAATTGTTAACCCGATCCGAGGCCTGTGAGTGGTTCCTCATAGATAGGCTCCCTCGGTTTTATTATTATTATTGTTATTACTAAAAACAGAAAAAGAAAAAAAAATAAAAAGAAAAGCACGTCCTTTTTAAAAGATGAAATTACTTTGTTGAAATTCGCAAACTTGAAGATGACAAACAGGGAACATTCTGTCATTTTCCAGAGGGACCTTTGGAGCAAATAATAGCCTGAAATTCCTTGTAGAATCAACTTTGGTGTGCAAGGCTCCCCCTGCCCCTTTGCGGCTTCCCTTCCCCCCCCCCCCGCCCCCTTCTCCCCCTCCCCCTCCCCCCCTAGTTTGGGAGCTGGTTCAGTGAGATGAAAAGCTGCACTTTTTTAAAGCTCAGCTGTTAAAACTGAGCGCCATATGCAGTC